CTGTGTAAAATACGGACATAGTGTGAGAGTTCAACTCGAGTGGGCCTGACCAGCCAGAAGTGGAAGCAACTCCCAGCTCAAAACTCTGGACCTAATCTACCTCAGCAGCGGGTGTGTGTGTTTGCGGGGCGGTGGGGGCGGGGTGAGGGGTGTTAGAATGACAGCCAGGACCGAACTGCAGTCAGAACAGAACAAATCCAGCGCCTTTGGCTGCCCTGATCGACCTTGCAAAGCTTCTGGGTGGAAGAGGCATTTGGTTTGCTCCAAGGAGAGAACCAGCACTTCATTCCTCATGTCCAGCCAGGTGCCGTAGGGCAGTTCCCCTCCCTCCTAGCATAGCACATCCCAAGGGATGGTGGTCAGGGCTCACACACATACCCAGACAAGAACGTTCCTAGCAGCACTATTCACAGTAGCCAGAAGGCAGACACAAGCCAAGTGCCCATTAGCTGAAGGGGGCTAGGTGAACAAAGTGTGGTCCGTGCCTTCATAGAATAGTGCTCAGCCATGAAAAGGAATGAAGCACTGACAGGCTGCAATGTGCATGGACCCCGAAAACATCATGCTGAGGGCAAGAAGCCAGACACAGAAGGGACTGGGTGATTCCGTTATACATGTCCAAACAGGCAGACCCGTCGAGACAGAAAGCAGGCTGGTGGCTGCCAGGGCTGGAGGATGGGAGGGGGATGAAGAGTGACCACCTGATGGGCACAAGGTGATGGAAATGCTTTGGGATTTGATGTGGGGGGTGGTTGCACAACACTGTGAATGTAGTGAATGCTTTATAGTTCCAACACGGAGGGAACTGCCAACAGTTGTGTGCACCGTGCCACGCCCAGAGCTGACAGCAGCCAGGGAATCAGAGTCCTTTTCAAAGAACTTTTGCATTTGTTAAAATAATTTACGTGTAAACTTTTTGCCAGCACTGTTTACTGATAGAGGTTTTATTTGGGTGTTAATAATGGGAAAATCAGTAATGACCAGGTATTGGAAGGTCAGATTTCTCGTTTTATTTGATTATTTCTAGCAGGAAACTAATTAATTATGACATGTTGCATAACCAGAATGTTATTAACCAAAGTCGTATTTCACATTTTTTGTTGGTATAACACACAGATGATGTTAATTATACTTACTGAGTTTAACAACTTATATAAAAGATAACCTTCAATTTGTGAGTTGACATCTGTTTGGGACCAAAGAATAATTTGATTCTGAAGCTTTTTTCTGAACAGCTTGTAATAAGAGCTGTTTATATATTGATTACTTAATTGAATTATTATGGATTTTAATGTTTTGATTTTCAAGCAATTTGGGGTTTATTGTGGTGACATCTGCTCCTTATTTTGACACTTTATGGTATTAAGCAATTTCATCAAAAGGCTCTTTATTCCCCCTGGCCATTTACAGTCCAATCCTGAAAATCGTCGTTTGCTTTCTGCTTCAGGTTGCTGTAAGGAATATTGTCCTATTTCATCTCCACTACAGAATATTTTTCCTAATGAAATGGATTTTTATTTTATAAGCAAAGTCAATATCCCATTGTGCCTGCTTCACTCTGATGCCGTTTCATTTCTATTCAAAGCGCTGTAGAAGGACTTTGTTTAAATCTCATTATTTTCCTTCAGCGGTAGATTTTTTTTCAATTGCTCTAGTTATTACTTTAATCTTATATGCCCTTACGATTTTTTTTTAATGTACTGTAATGAAACTTAAGGGCCTATGAACCTGCCTTTAGAATCCTTTTAATCTCCCTTCTTTGAACAGTGTAACTATAAGCGTGACTCGGGAATAATTTACTTGAACTTCCTTAAAACACTTGAAGAGGTTCTGTATAAATTCACTAATAAGGAACACCTTCATGTGTAGCCTCACTTGTGGATTTGAATTATATGAAGCCCAGCGTCTTTTTATTATTGCTTAAGACTTTTGAACAAGAATTTAGAGAAAATGGCAGGTGTTTAATTTCCTTGGTTCTGGAGCTTGTAGACAATTTAAACCCTGTAGGAGGCTGGGTTCACTCACAACCAAAGACAGTTTATAAAGAAGCAGGTAAATATTAAGTAAATGCTGGTTGACTGCTTCGTGTTTACATTGACTGAAAAATTAAAAGTTTTTGGTATGAAGGATTATCTAATGAGATATGACTCTGGCTTCTTCAGAAATCTGTACAAACAGAACTCCTGTGAAGTGGAAGTGTAGGAAAACAATGGAAAACTTGAGACCTGTTAGTCACTGCTTTCTTTTGCTTTGTTTTCGGAGCCAAAGGGGGAAAATAGATTCTGATGTTGTTTATCTCTTCTTATGAGCACACAAGAGGATGGATATCTGCACACAGACATGCATGCCATGATTTTTATAAACATGAGGTCTGTGAAGTTTCTCTAAAGCATGTTCTCTTCTCCTGAGGGTGTGTACAGTTTAATTTATTGGTTGTGTATAATACAGTCCCTAAAAGAAAGATAGTCCAAATGGGCACTGATTATCATTAAATGATAACAAACAATATCTGAGCTGAAACCACTTTTATTTGCGACTTCCCTTGCAGAATCTCTGCATGTACCGTTTCACCGGCTGGCTGTTTTAATTTCTCCTTTTTCATGTCGCAAATAAAAATGTATAGTCTGAGTTAAAGTTTAAGACAGAGATTATGAAACAATAAAATGTGTTAAGTTTGGGTTGGGATGAAAAAGACGAACAAGAAGTAGGAGAAGTCAAAGGTAAAGAATTACCAAAGAATTTTAAGTTGGTTTTTTGTTCTTCAAATCTCCCTGTTTCTCAGCAGGCAGGTCCCGTCCCGGCAGACACTTGGTGTTTTATATGATCGGATACTGGGGAGCCCACTGGTTCGAAGGTCTACACATGAAGTCGCCCTAAAGGTAACCGCCTGCCATTGCGTTTGAGCTTGACCTGAAATCCGTTTGGAACTGCGTTTTGCCAAAACTGGACACCTTCTGTTTTAAAGTGATTTTTTCAGGAGGAAGTTGAGGTCTTTCTCCTTGCTCTAGTTCAAGGTAGTGGATGGAGCATCATTAACGAGACAGGCGATAAGAGTCAATGTCTCATGATGAACTGGCCTTTTATTTTATTGTCTTCTGAGAGTTTTTGCATACTGAACTAGCTGTTACACACTTTTCTGGGTCTTAACCGCAAGCACATGACACCTTCTAAAATCAAGCCCTCTTGTCAGCATTGTGAATTCAAATTCGGCTGCAAAATTAGTTTAATTAGACACATGAGTCAGCTCTTACTTGGTGTCTGTATTTTAATTCTATGCTTTATTAACTTCTTAATGTGATTTGTGTCTTATCTGCCCAATGATTTACTACTTAACCTTGAAACTTATTAGAAAAACACGTAGCTTACTCTTTAGACATCTAGTGAGATGATAAAGTCACCAGAAGGGCAGAGCAAACAATTGCAGATGCACTGGCGTTGAGACTTGAAACACGGCCCAAACTGCAGGTGAGGGCCCCCTCCCCCACCCGGAAAAGTGCTGTTATCTTTGGGTAGAGGGCATAAGGTTGTTTTGGCTTTCTTTCAACCATATAAAAATGCAAAAGCCGCTGATAGCTCACAGGCCTTCCAGAAGGAAGCCACGGGTGGGAACTGGCCCATGGGCCGCGGCGGGCCCACCTTGACCTGGACAAACGCACTTGTTTTCTTTCTGCCTCCTCTGGCGGCAGCCCTGTGCTGGAGAACCTCTGGCGGCACCGCTCTGCGAGGCTCAGGATGTGCTGAAGACGCGGTCCCAGCTCTGGTTCCTTAGCAGAGGCCCTGCAGATGTCCAGGGAATCCTGCAGGACTAAGGGCCCTCCTGCCGTGAGTAGGGTGGCTCTGCACTGATGGAGCCGCTCTCACTCAGGGGTTGTCAGTCCGAGGCAGCTCCCGCCCCTCCCCAGGGGATGTGTGGTCATGTCTGGAGACATTTTTTAGGGAGAGGAGTAGTGCGCTCATCCAGTGGGTGGAGACCAGGGACACGGTCAACGTCCTGCAGTGCACAGGACAGCCCACTGCAGAGATTTCTGGGGCCCCAAACGTCTGGAGTGCTGAGGTGGACGAGCCCTGCTCACTCCTGCCGTCAGTATGTTGTTTTGTATTTTGAGCTGATTAGTCTTGTGGCTGCAGAAATTTAAGCTGCTGAGCATTTGATTATAACACTGAGTTCCTGAGTTTGTGGACATAAAACTGGAGGCTCCTTGGACTGTCATCGAACACTCGGGTTCATGATGCTATGGGAGTTTTAATTAAAAAATTTTTTTCTTCATTTAAATTGAAATGTGAAAAATGATAGAACACCAAGGTTTTCGAGACACAGGCTACCCTGCGGGTGAGGCATTGCCTGCCTTTCTATCTACAAAGAAACCCATAGGATTTATTTCCCAAAACTCTGGAGGCCACACTGTGTGTAGAAAACCTCGCTTATGACTCCACCTACCGCAGAACTGGGGATCGTCCAGGCCAAAACAGATCCTGCGCGTGTGGGTGAAAATCATAGTGTCTTAGAGGTTTCATACCAGCCTGTGTGGATTCCTGACACTTGTCTGAAGGCCTAGTACACATGATGGAGAAT